AGGTCCTTAGACACCTTTAGGATCTGTCACATCTCTTAAAGGCCAGAGTTATCATTCTGCGAAGATCATCAGACGGCAGGTGGCCTCTATATTCATCATCGTGCTTGTAAGATAGCTCATGCTCTGTTAAGTCCATCATATGATGTCCCGGGTCCCTGGTTCTGTGGTGTAGGACCTACTATCTTTATTCGGTCTGCAGTTCCCTAACTTCACATGACCCACCAGCCGAATCATTCTTCTATTATTCATTTCTTTATATTACTTTAAGCTGGGAAACCTTATGTTAACAACGTTTCTTGCCAGATTTTCCCTTTTCTGGGTGCCGCATGACCTTTGTGGCTATGTCACACGACTTATTTATTGTTGTAGTAATCCGTCCGAAAGTGGAAAGCTCCTCTTAAAGATCATTTCCAATCATGATCCTGACACAGTTTTTATCTCCCAGTTGAACTCGAACCGGCAACTTTGCGATTATGACCTCCGGAGCGCTAACCACTGCGCTATCGACCCAGAGGTCTAATACTTACTTTATAACATATTGCTACTACTTTTATATTTAATTTAAGTTCTATCAATTTATACAGCTACAAGAACTTGTTACAAATTCATATTGCTTAGTACCAGTTTGTGTTTCTTTATACAAGAAATAACTGTTACATAAATGTTATACAACTTTTTAGTTATACTAATATGATACAAGTAACAGATATCTTATTTTAACTAATAGTAAAAACAGTTAACTAATTTTCATCAACACTGGGATTTGAACTCTAGACTTATTACTTGTAAGTTAACAACTTAACTATTTTACAATGTTATTATGTTTTTTTTCTTTTGTATATTTATTATACTGTTTTTTGAGCTATTGCTAATTTTGTATTTTTTTTCAAAATTTGTAAAAAAAAATTAATAGAGTTTTTTTTTAAAAAAAAAATTTGATTTTTTAATAACTTGTTTATTTAATAATATTACTTAGTTTAATTTTTTTTAGTATTAAAATGTAATCTTTATTAATAATTTAACTATGTACTTAGTTCAAAAGTGCTAAAATAAATTAAAATTTATATACAACAAAATAAAAATTATAAAAGTTCAAACTAGTTTACTTGTAACTTAAACTGATACTTATTTTATTTTAATATTTACCTATTTTATATGTATCTATTTATTCTCTAAATACATAATAAATATTTTGTATATATTTGTAACTTAATAAATTGGTTCTCATAATCTAACTGAATCGAAATTTAAAAAAGAAAATTCAAGTATATTTACTACCTGAATGAGTTTTTTAAAAAATCTATAAAAAATTTAATGTTTTTTATACATATATAAAATCTTTTAAGATAAAATTAAAAGCTAAGTTGTCGGATCACTTTTAAAAATTTTATGTTGAGAACCGATTTATTAAGTTTGTATGGCCTAATTTGTAAGTTTTTTATATAAAGTTTTTATCGTTTTCTAGTAATATTAGAGCGACCAGTTAAATCAAACTTTCATTATGCTATTTGTCCTAGGCATTAAGCAGATTTTCTCAAAACACGACAATTAGTAATAATATCCTAATCCGCTGGAATTAGTGGAAACTTCGTTTCCGCTTATTCACATATGGGGTATTATTAATTGTCGGGAAATCTGGGGCCTTAATTTGAAAATATAAACCCTATTAAAATTCACCTATACTCTGTTATTATAAATGCTAACCCTAAATTCCAGCCTAACTATGAAAAAAAACTGAACCAAACACCCAAAAATATTCAAAATTTCATAATAAAATGTTAAAATTTCGATTTCAGCATCATCCCCCGACATTAATTAATCCTCCCGTGATCTTTGATATAGTGATCAGGGGATTATTTTAAATTTATACCATGATCTACGTGTTACACTAAACTTAGGCCAAAGTTTATAATATTGACAAAAGCTGCAAATTTGATTGGTTAAAATTTTTCAACCAATCAAACCTCAATAAAAAGTGAACAACTCAGCAAGAAATTTCCTCTGTTAGTAGTGTTCGGAGCGTATTTACACGCGTACAGTCTAAACATGAAAAGATGAAAATAGTATCTTGTGTATCATGTTTAAATACGAAACTGCCTTATCGTAATATGTCTGAATCTTAAAAAGCCACATTGAGAGTTTCGTTTTTAGGGATTATTTGGTCACAAAGCTGAAACCAAACAAGAAGTGATGACAAATAGAATCGCTACGCCATTATAAATACGTATAATACATATCATAGTACGTACACAACTTGTATTATTATATCACAAACTCTGAATAGTCACATAATCAGGTATATAGGCTATATAAGACTGTAAAATGCAAATTTTCACAGAGTTCCTTTCAAATACCTAGACTTATAATCATAATATACACTTCTACCAAGTAACATACTATACCTTCCTATGCCACTTTTAGTATGTCAACATTAACAATGTCATCCACAAATACAAGGCCCATAAAAACAACTCAGCAAAAGCGTCCACATAATCCAAATTGGCATGAAGATTTTTACCGCAATGGTCGACCAGATGAAAAAGAAGTGATAGTAATCTCTGATTCTCCAACTCCTCCACTTTCTAGTACTCGACAGCGACCAGTTCAAATGGAAACAAGAGGAAGAAAAAGAAGTAGACGAACACCTTTGTTGAGTAGTAATAAATCGGCACAGATGTTGCTTCAGCAATCATCGTCGGCACATAAACGGCGACGAAGGGGGGAGTATCAAGCCATCCGAGACCATTCTCAGTACAACGATGCAACTTATCGCTCATATATTTCAACAAGCTCACATGCCTCGGGACGTTTTCGAGAGCCAATCTCTGCTAGAGAGGTAAGAAGAACATAGATCCTACTATCATGGGAACACAACTCAAAAAAAGAAAAAAAAAAAATATATATATAGATCTACGTTATTTATTGAGAATGGATGTCAGATGTAATTCATGTTTCTCATTTTTAGTCCCGTTCATCCGCAGCCTCATCACGTCAAGCAATACCGAGTTATGATGACAAGGATGGACATTACATTGTCAAGATTGGTGATGAATTGGGGAGTAAATGTAAGCATTCATATCAACGTAACAGTAGCAATGATTAAGCAAAGCATTTATTCATTTAAAATGATTATAAAGATCAAATAACTCACTTGTTGGGGCAAGGAACTTTTGGAAAAGTAGTTCAGTGTTGGGATCGTGTTAACAATCGTCACGTCGCAATTAAAATCATTCGCGCCGTACAAAAGTATCGTGATGCGAGTAAGATTGAAATTCGAGTGCTTAACACTTTGAAGGAGCGAGACCCTTCCAATGTCCAGTAAGTGCCAAAGTTTCTTTTATGATCCAATAGAAAAATATTTTTTAGGATCAATACTAAACTTATTATTATTTTATTTTAAATAGTAAATGTATTCATCTTAGAGAATGGTTCGATTATCGTAATCATATATGCATGGTTTTCGATTTATACGGATCCTCCTTATTCGACTTCCTGAAACATAATGATTTTAACCCTTTGCCAATGAATCAAATTCAACATGTCGCGAGGCAATTGCTTCATTCCGTCGCCTGTATCCTTAAAACAATTTTGTATTATTAATTGGTTCTAACAGATTTGATATTACATCTACTACATAATTTTTTTGTCATCAAAATTAGTCTTACATTCTTTACGATTGGTGCATACTGATCTAAAACCCGAAAATATTTTATTGGTCAATGATCAATGTAGAACAGTTCCATCAAGGGTAAGTATAAGAATCATAGTTTTTATCTTTCATTGTTTCAAATTAAATACCTTTTTTATGCTAGAGATCGCCGGGGAAGCCTCGACGCATATTGTTAGATACAGATATACGACTGATTGACTTTGGGAGTGCTACATTTGATGATGAATATCACTCTTCTGTAGTATCTACCAGACATTATAGGGCACCTGAGGTTATATTAGGTAAGTAAAGATTATTTTATTTGCTACAGTACCGGACAGTAAAAGACATTCAATCTATACTATAGAGCGTCAATTTTTAATACTTGTACAACCGATTTTAATTGGCTAATTTTGGTGTAATTGATTCTAATTTGTTAATTAAATATACATCTTTTCTTTTTATATTAAATACTAGTTTTTTAAACTATTATAAACTTTGAATCCTTATAACTTTTTTAAAACAAAAAAAAAAAAAAAATCTCTGACAAAATTGTAGATTATCTGAAAATCCATCGATTTGTCAGAGTTTGTTGATTTAGTTCGTTTTAAAAAAGTTATAATAATCTAAAGTTTTTCTTTAATAAAAAGTGATGCGTTTACTGTCCTGTACTTTAGGCTTAATGTTAATATATGATTGCCGATAAAAATAATTATTACTTTAGGATTGGGTTGGTCATATGCTTGCGATCTTTGGTCTATTGGATGTATTCTTGTAGAATTGTTTACAGGCGAAGCCCTATTCCAAACTCACGAAAATTTAGAACATCTGGCAATGATGGAGCATGTACTTGGCAGAATTCCTGAAAGGATCGTCCGGCAAATGTGGTATGTTTTATCTAATTTGCTTCACTGTTTTAATAATAAAGGTTTAATATTTATTATTATTTTCTTTTAAGTCGACCGAATCAGCTCAAGTATTTCAGAGGTAGTCGGTTACTTAATTATCCTAACGATGATACAACCAAACAAAGTCGTAAATATGTTAAGTCATTACATACATTAGAAGTAAGTATACTTAATCGTTTTTAAAACTGTATGATTAAATACATAATGTAGTGTAATTAAAGTTGGTGTTTTTATTAGGAGGTTATTGAGCCTGGAAGATCCACATTTAGAGAACAGTTTTATGATCTTTTGCAACGTCTGTTGCTTTATGACCCAGACGAACGGATCTCCGCGCGTGATGCTTTAAGACATCCGTTTTTTTACATGACATTTAATGAAGAGGGTAGACAAATCCGCTGACAGTGCGTCAAGTACAGATACATCGGAAGGAGTCTTTCAGCGTTGTATATATAGAATTGCCCGGATTGTATTGAGAACATTTATAGTTATTATGTCAAATTGTACCAAAAATCATTCAAATGTCTTGATATATTGTATTTCATTCGAATTCTTTCATGACATGTATTTATATTTGGGCTTTTTCTTATTTTTACATGCTCTATTACCTCTGCTTCAAATTGATAGAATAGTTGATTGGGCCTGAAAGACATGGATGCTGAATTTGCTTTTGAACTCTACTTGTAATTTAATCATTTACTGCTACTATTTTAACAAGCATATTAATGTTGATTGATCTTGGTGGTTTACATGCTCTTCTTTAGATATACGATAATCAGAAGTCATTGGATGGTCGGTTACTCGATCAGGATGTGAAACTTTCATTCGGCTTTTGGTGCTGAACATGGGTAAGCCTGACTGGTAGAATTTATAGTTTTTAATCACTTTATGGTTTTGTTAAACTGAGGCTCGTTCTGTCTCGTTGTGTATCCTTATATGATGTACTAAAGATGTCTATCCAATCCTTGAATATGCGCTCGGTTATTTTGGCTAATTGAGAAGGATTTGTCGTAATTTGTCCTTACAGATAATGGAATATATTTCACATTTCATTGCGCGTTCGGTACATTAATTGGACCAAAGGCTTATTTTGACAAAAGACCAAAACTCTAAAGTTTGCGCTAAAACCGAGTATATATTCAAGATCAATTAGATATGTTATATAATATATCGCATTCAATAAGCATAGTAAATATCCCTTGTCTGTATTTTATAAATTTTTAGTTGGTAAGTATGATGGTGAGTTAAATGCTACGTAGTCTGAATCGAAGTTTGATCGATCATGTCGCGGTTACAATGAGGGATTATCAATTTTATTTTGTTTTTTTAATCACTAAAAATTGCCTTTTTGGTCTCCAGTTGATGCGATCAGCAAGAAATAAATATTGCGTAAATAATGAAAGATCATTGTGGCCAGAAATGTTCGAAGTATTCGATGTTTTAAACCCTGCGATATAAACATATAGATGTGTCACACTGATTCATTAAAGTCTAAACTTAAAGTTAAGCCACGGATTTTTATATTTATACGATTAGCTAATCTATCGCTATGGTGACCAACAACCAATAAAATCAATTAAAAATATCAAATATACTAGTACGGACAAATTCTTTAGTACATATTATCGAAACCTTTATTCTTAATTGTATTTAGAATAATTCTCTCGTATTCCCTAGTCCATATAATTAATCAAAATAACATTGCTCATGCGTAATTATCAATCACAACTTGACGTTATATTTACGCCTATTTAACAGGTTTTTAACTTTAATATCAGATATCAAGCTCATATATGAGATGTCGGTATTAATTATATTATTGTAACACGCCTAACAATATATGAGTCTTCGCAGTAGAAAGGGCGGAAACTGCTTCAAAAAATGAAAATCGAGTTTTATTGGATTTTGTAAATTTCGATGTGGTTAACATTTTTCAATTATAAATAAGAGTCGATTTTCATGATAAATAGTCGAAAAGTTGCATATCACGAGATTACCTGGTAATTACCTATTGCCAATTAATTATTTCAAAATGATATATATTCAAGTTTCTGTTCTTTCTACTGCAAAGGTTTATATATTAAGTTCTTAAAAACTAGAGCTTACTTATAACTTAATTTTTTAAATTGATCATTTTTATTATTTCGAATTTTTGTTTTTTTTTCCTTAAGCAGTCACGTTAGTACTTTATTAAGATTTTTGAAATTACTTTTGCAATTATATAGAGATACATAATAACTAAGTTTAGCATCACTTGGTTACCTTAATGGTATCTAAGTGTAACCTGTTACGCTACTTCAATCAGAAGTTGCTTGTTTAATTATTTAAAATTTAATAAAAAGATTTTTTTCTTTTATGACAAGTCTTAACATTGTTTTCTTGTTTTTTTTCAATTTATTTTTTTTATTTTTTGTTGATTCTTTTTTTTCTTTGTTTAGGTTTTTTGAGGGGTTTCTTTATTTATTTTATTTATTTTTTCTTATTTTTTTATTTGTTAGTTTTTTTACATTATATTCTTTATATTTATTTATTCTTTAAACTGTAAACTGTTTCTAGACAAATTTGTTTGAAATTTAACAAAAATATACTTATAGTTTATTTTTTTTATATTTTAAAAAATTTAAATAAAATTTTATTTGATAATATTTAAAAATAAGAATTATAATATAGTAATATTTAATTTTATATTATAAGAAAAAAATTTGTTATTTATAAGTTATAAATAAACAAATTTAAAAAAAATTTTAATTAAAAAAATATTTACTAATTCTTGATAAACTCTTTAAAAATTAATTTTTTTTTTTTTTTATAATGTCAAATTATAACTTATATTTTATTTAGTTTTTTGCATTATTATTATATATAGTTATATTACATTTGTATTATTAGATTACTAATTGTTTTAGATACCCAATGTGACATTATATCTATATTTTCTTATGCATTCTATTTTGTAGTTTTTACTATGTATTTTAATCATTATTACTAAACTACTAAAAAGGCTATAAATCATCTTGTTATACTTCTAATTTTCTCTACTTTTCTTATCTAGCAACCTTTCTGTCTACTATTTGCAATAACTTATTCTTCTTTCAAATTGGTTAACTCTAGCAGTTTTTTGTTCTTTTTACTACTAGTTTGATATATACAACCTAATTTATTTTCTAGTATTCTGTAATATGATTGGATTTATCTAGATTTGAATTATCAATTTGTAATTTATTATATATCTTTTTCAGATATATATTTATAGTTAGTTTAATCTATGATTTGATCATATATGTTTTTTGTAGGCTTTTCTGTAGGCTTTTCTGTAGGTATATTACTGACTATATAGTGATATATTACTAACTTAGTATTGCAAAAAGGCCTAAAACCTTGATTTATTATATACAAGTAAGGTGCTCATCATTTAAGTTGTGATATATGACTATTTGGAAAATACTCAAGTACTTTTAGAAATATCTGTCTAAAGTATTTTAATTTTAGTTAGACTAATTCTTTGTTACAAATTTTCTTTACATAAATTACATTGCTTATTACTTTAATTTGATTACATAGTATTATCTTTTCAATCAAGTATTCTATAAGTTAGATACAGAGATGTTGGTATTGTTTTATCTTCTGAGAACTTACATGTACAATACTATTGTTAGCCAAACCTTTTATAATATCACTGTTATATATAGTGTTTTCATTTTACAGAATTAGTCTTCTAAGAATTTCTAATCTGTCTTTATACTTTTTTTTTTTTTTTTTTTTTATTTATTTATTTATATAATATCAAGTAGAAAAAATAGTAATACATGGATATATCAATTGAATATAAATGTATAAATGAAATATTCCTAAACTACACTACTGTTGCTATATATATAATGACATTTAGCATGATATTAACCTTTAATTTTTTGTATTAGTTAAATCTACTATTGTAATCATTAACTATAGAAGAAGGTAAAAGGAACCTTTAAGATTATTTTAATTAGTAAAAGCAGATATATATAGTAAAATTTTGAAAAAGCATTTTAAGAATAAATTAGTCTATATTAGTGTTGAATATTAATATGTTGTTATTGAAGTTACAAGATTGTATAATAGATAATTAGACATTGTTTTTTCTTTTAGTAAGAGTAGTAATTCCTCATGTTAATTTTCATTTATATTGTTTAGTATTATGAGTTTGCCAGATAGTAAGATTGAACCAGTTGAGTAGAGAGTTAGATAAAGAGATAAAAAAAGTTGTTAGTTTTTTTAGAATTTGTTGAAATTGTTTATATTGGTTAAGTGTTATTGTGTCTTGAATAAGTAAAGAAATTGTGTTATATATAGTAAAGTTTGGAGAAAGATTTTGTAAATTAAGGATTTGAGTTATAGTATATAGTGAAACTTTTGAGAAGTTTAAAGAGCTTAAGATATTCATAGTTTTATTGATAAGAATGTTTTGTGAATTGTAAGTATGAAGTGAACATTGAAGAAATGTTCAGTATTTTCATATTAATTACAATAGGAACAATTTGAAGTTAAGTAGAATAGAGGATAGCAAATGTTTAAATTTGATATAGTTGGCAAGTTATTAAGAAGGATTTTATTTCTAATTGAATAAAGTTTCAAATTAGAATTTTGTGAGTTAATGATTTCAGTAAATAGTAGAATATTTATAGTAGAAAGATTTTGTAATAGTTTAAGTTGATAAAAAAGAGGTTTTTGCAAAATTTATGAAGTTTGAATGTAATTGGTATTTCTTTTTAAGTAAAAAAAGTAGGTAAATAAAAATAGTCAAAATTATATTTTAGTTTTGTTTTTTTTATATCTTGTTTAGCTAAAGCAATCAGCAATATTATGTAAAGTGGTATTTGAATATGATTTAACTTTATGCATAATATAATTTATATTTTTGAGTTTGGTTAGATAGTTTAGAATATAAATAATATTCCAGTTGTTTTGTTTGGTTTGAGAGTTGTAATTATAAGGTATTGAATTAGTAAGAGTTTGTATAGTAGATAAGCTGTCTAAATGAATATGGATTGAATAGTTGGAAGGTAAGATAGGAAATAAAAGAATGAGTGTTGCTAGTTCTGCTTATGTTGAGTTTGGTGCAAAGTTTATAGAGGCATTAAATTTAATTTGTATATTATTTTCCAGAATCTAGACTATATCAGTAAAGGTGTTATATGTTTGTGAATTTAGTATAGAAGCATCTGTATAAAAATGTATATTAGTTGGTTCAAGAGATAGTAATTTTTGGTAAGAGTTTTAAGTTAGTTTTGGTATATAGGATCAGGTATTATGTTTTGTATTAAAAGAATTTCTGAGAAGAGTAGTGAAAGTGATGGTAGAGATTTTGAAACTGATTTATATAGGTCTGCATGAATGTTTTAAAGTGCTTTGATTTCTTGGTT